GGTCAAGGCCAAAAGGTGGCAAATTGACGTGAAATGACTGTCATATAATTTTTATTTCCAAGATTACCTGTAGATCAAATCGTCTAGAAGTGCTTCGTGTTACGCAGGTCATCGTTCGAGTTTAGATTTTCAGAAGGATCGCTGATAGTGGATCCAACAGTAGTACGCCGAAACTAGTATAATAGGGTAATTTCAGTTGTTTAACTGCGAAGTACAACTACAAAAATTTAAATAGTAAAAACTTCTCTGGGAATTGATTTAATTTGATTTAATAATCCAACAGTAGATTAGAGCTAGTGTCTTAGTTTAGTGACGAACTTGAACCAGAAACTACTGTTAGTTGGATGAAGTATAAAAAAAACTACACATGTGTTACTGATGGTTTTTCTCGTCTGTAATTTGCTTACTATTCTAGATTCTCATAAGTGATTTTGCAAAGAAAATCTCATGAACTAACTGAAAGCAACAACATATTCCGCTGCTGGAAAGAAGATAGACATGACTGAATAAACCTAAAATTTAGAAATATATTCTTACTGAATGAAAAAAAATAAATTTTTCATGTATTGTTGTTGTATCCTTTTTCAAAAAGATTACATGCATGATAGTATTTATCAAAAGCCTTTTGTCAACCAATTAATTGTAGTGGAGAAGAAAAAAGCTGTTTAGAAATATACGTATGATTTTTTTCACTCAAAAGTTTTTTAGCTGTCTTTCTCAGCACAGATCGGAAGCAGTCACCTGAAATCTGTAAACAACTTTTTTTTTAGCTATAAGTAAAACGAAATTGCTGATTAACACACTTCAAGAGACAGAAGGCAAGTGTTATCAAAAAGTATGTTTCAAACACCGTTTCAGATTGAATAGTAAAAATTAAAAATTTTTTATGTACGATATAATAATAAATGGTCATAAGAAATATGCAAAAAAAATGTTATACTCATCAAAAGAAAAAAAAAGGAATATGAATTTGTTTAATCAGATTTATGCGCTGAAATGTGCGAAAAAAGTTGAATAAAACAATAATGACCTTTATACACCAGTTATAAAAGCCCAATCTAACGACAAAAAAATTTTTTTTGATTGAAAGCCACTTTTATTAAAATTTTATTTTAGTTGTCAAATACTTCCTGTAACATACCACCGTTACCCGGAAGTCTCAAAAAAATCCAGCTTTTTTTAGTATCTGTTAATCGACGACGCTATACCATACAGATATTCGGAAGGGTTTTGGCGAATGAAGCACAAAAATTTCCACAATAATTTTTGTTCATCTTTATTTTTTTCTTTTTCTTCCTTATTACTTAACTAACATTAACAACCAATTAATTAGTACGGCAATTTTTTTGTTTTGTCTGTCAAAACAAATTACATTATTTAGAAAACAACACTTCTTTAAAAGCAAAAAAAACTTTTTTGTGCTGTGCTAATTCGCTGATTGTCAACTGATAACAGTTTTGTTGATATATGTTACAGTTGACAATAGATTTTCAAAAACCGCTCATCGTTTGTATTTACTTTCAGGTCCCAGAAACTTGGTGATAGTTGACAGCGATGTTCAGTGCAATGCCTTTCAATGTTTTTTTACTTTTCTTTTGTTGCTCTACACTTTATGCAGGTAAAGATCAACTTTAAATAAAAAATTAAGTTTTTTCGATAACAGTTAAGCAGTTGTAGTGATCAAGCAAAATTACTCTTAATATCAGTTGTCTATAAAAGTCGTCCTTTAATTACAAATAGGCAAAAGGCTGTTAAAAACGGAAAATTGTCTGTCTCTGTAAACTTATTTTGCTCTTACATTTGTAAACAATGATGGCAACAATTCGGTATGTCAATTGGTGAGGAGATAAAAAAACTTTACCTTTGAAATCATGATTCACAGTTGAGGCAATACCAAAAATTGGAAGAAAAATAAATTAAGAAACTGAAAAGCCATAGACTGCGACCACTGCAATGATGATATTTTTAACTGAAAGGTACTGACAGCATAGTTACAGTTGTTGCAAAACAATATGAACGAGCGGTTTGTAATCGGTTAATTAGGTAAAATTGGTAATCTGAAAAGTATGGAATATGTTTGAAAGTGTAAAATGACAAGCTTTCAAAAGTGTAATTACCAGTAACAATAATAAACGGAAAATTTTTAAGAACGCTTTCATTTCCAATTATTTACCGCGCTCTCCTCTAATAGAAGTATGGAAAAGAATTATAAATCTTGACAATATAGCAGCTTTTAAAGTGTATTTTAGAAGTCAATGAAACCTTGGCAACAGATGAACGGAGTCAAATAGAGGATCAAGAATCAGAAGACCTTCTGGAAGGTTTGAGACTAATAGAACTTTCTGAAGGGGAAAACACGACTGCGAAAGCCGACGAGTTACAAAATGGGACTGTTGGACAAATGAGTCAGTGGGAAAGCAGTAATGAAACTTCAGTTGATTACGAATTTCAAAGTAAGTCATGTCAACTGTTTATGTTTCACTTCTTGTGTAAAATTTTACATGGGGAAACACCTACTGCAATAGAAGAACTAAGTGTTCAAATAACTTTTGGCCCCTCTATTTTTTCAGTTTGCATAAAATAAAAACCATTGATTTTTGAGGTGATTATGCTTCAGTTTTAGCTAGTACCGCGCTTGTACCAATTTTATGGCACTTGATAAGAGAGAGTAAAAGAAGGTCTCTTGAAACATCAAGTTTCGATTTAGTAAATATAGTTAAACCGGCTTGAAACCATAACTTGTGGGCCCATTTTAGGCCAAAAAATTTTTACTCAAGAAGGAAAGATTTAAAATGTTTAATTTTTACGACGTCACTAGTATCATTCCCAGGATTTTTTTTAATTTTATCACTATGGGAAGGTTATGACTCACAAACTTTCTTTGCTTTTTCTGACATACGATGTCTGTTAAACATCAGTTTTCGGCGTCGCTTAGATGGTTTCGCAATGTTTGAAGAAACAGGCCAGCATTCTACAAAGCGATTAATTTGTACTGTTGAATCAAGGTGAAAAAATTGATTATTCCAGTTGAAAATGAGCGTGAGCGAAAGGGTGAAATATTTTTTTTAATTTCTGATTCTCCTCAGAGATTCTTGTGCTAGAATGCAACTCGTGAATATTGGATTATTGAAACTGCACTACCAAAAGTCTACTAAAATATGCCGCTAGCAGGATTTTTACACCAAATTTTAATCAGAAATGTAGAAGTAATAGATAATTTGGCTTTGTTCAGCTGACAGTACAAATATAAATATTGCATACAAATTCTGTTTGTACTGAAAATAATTTTAGATTCGACAGTAACAGATGAGTGCCATACATTCAGAGAATGTACGGCTGGGTGTATCTGTACAAGTATGGGGAAATGCGTTTGCTTGAGTAAACCTTCTACAACGTCTGAAATAAATAAAGAACAGGTCAGAAAAACACAGTATGAAGCAGCTTTCGGCCACGGCAGAGTTCGACTGCTCCGACCTTCCCAGTACAACGGAAAAAGTCACTTGAGACTGGCCGAGTTACAGAAGCTTTCAAGACCTACGATATTTCCTGGCACTTCTTTGACGCGAGTTGGCAGTGGCAAACTTGTTGAATTACCGACAAATCAATTTCACAGAAAAAATTATCAAAAATATTAAACATTTCAGAAAAAAATTAATTTACTACTTTCAGTGACAGGCTATGAAATGTCACTGTAAGAAACATTTTTCGTTTTTGTTTAAAAAGTATATATGTATATGCATTACCGGTTGTCCTGGTTCTTTGTTTGAGTATGAAAGCACTATATTTCAAACAGGTAACACAAGTAAAAACAACAATTTTTCTGTTCAGATCTATTTCTCGTCGTTTTTCTCCTCTAGTTTTTTTAAAAGTATGTTGTAAACTGCTCAAGAATTACCTATTAACAGAGAAAATAAATACTTTTTTTCAAAGATTGCGGTTGCAGGCATTTGTACAAAAATAAAGAGTCGTGCAATTAGAAAACCTGTCTGATACAATCTGTCTTGACCATGGTTTTATTATAATCAATACTTATTTAATATTTTATCGTAATTTCACCTAAATTTTAGTTTTTTTCCTCTAATCACTTGTCCAGAGCGTGACAAAGGCTCACAGTTTTCAGTCGTTTCCCCTAATCTTCAACGAGGGTTTTGATGATAACTGCTTAATAAAAATAAACCAACTAAATCTGGTGTGCAACAACCAGCATGTAGGCTTTTAATCAGAAATGTACAAGTACAATCCCCAAAAGCAGTCGACGGACTGACCCTTGTGTAAAATCGTCTATAAGACTATCATAACCAGCTCAAAAAAGTGACATAAGAAGATTGCACAGTGGATCAAATTAACGTCACCAAACTGCAGAAGATTTTGCAAGAAATCCAGGTTAGGTTTCAGGTGTTTCTTTCTCAGAGATAACTTCAAGTTAGGTATTTCTGTACTTTGGTGCTGGTTTTTGCATTGATCAAATGACAAAAAATGCTTCAGTACTTTTCTAAAAAGTAGAGTGAGCAATATTTCTCTGGTAAAAGAATAAAACTTGTTCTACACATGATTCGCTGCGAGAAACTAATTCAGTTTTTGAACGCAATTCTAATCTTTTTAGACCATCGTGTCTTGAATTTCAGCACCATACGGTTTACTGACATTCCAGTCTAAGATGGTTACTCTAATTCACTTGGTACTGATAATCTTCATAGCTTCTTCAGCGTTCTCGGCTCCTACTGCAGATCAAGGTATGCTCCATATGATACTATCACGATAATGAAAGAAGGTGATTTCAAATGTACTAATAAATGTGATTTGCTAACAAAATTGATAAACTGCAGCAGTTCTAAATTTCTTAAGCTATCAGTACCTATTAAAAAGTTGCTTCTTTTTTGTTCGGTGTAGCTTTATAAATGCCATTGTCAAATACTCATATTCTGTAGTTCTTCTAGCGGTAAGCAATAAATTTGTCAAAAAATGCTCTTCTTTTTCTGCATTCAAGTGGTTCCAGAATAGTTCCATTATTTTTCAGCTTTGTTCAAAAAAGTTACAAAAAATACGGAAAAGGTGAAGAAGAATCAACCAAAACTGGCTGATACATATGGCGAAACATTATCTGACGAATCGTTTGAAGACATTGATCCACTAATGCCGAGAAAAAGAGTACCACGACGGATGTAAAGGGTACTGAATCAGTGTAAAACATTTCTGAAGGCCATTTCTGTCCAGTAGTACTGTACTTTGAACATTATGTCGCATCTGTTACTCATATTCCATTCTGATGATTGTAACTGTCAATCACAACATTAACACGCTACACCATAGTTGCTAGAAGTGAAGGGAAAGCGAACGAACGGTTCTTCACCAGCAGTAAGAATAACTTACTAGCAGTAACTGCAGTTAGATTTAGAAGCAGTACAAGGGCACTTCGCTAGATACACTATACAAATTTCAGCAGTATTTCTTTTTTTTTTTTCTTTGCCATCTTTTGTCCGCAATTTAGCTTGTTTGTTCGTACTTGTGATGCCTTGATGCCTTTCAAATGCTTTTAGGGGAGAAAATGTGAAATATCAATAGACTTCATGCACGCATTAACCGCTACTCCGGAAATCAGTGAGAATACAGTCAG